AGCCCCCCGCCAGCGCCCACCGCTCCCTGTGCCCGCTTCGGCTGCCCGGGGATCATCCCTGGCTTTGCCGCTGCACCCCAGGCTGCCTGCATCTTCCCCAAAATATTTTTACAAGTAAAATGAATTTAAGGCACAGGAAAACTGGGCGAGAGCCCCTCTTGGTCACAGTAACACTGTGCGAGTTCCTCCAAGCCCATCCACGCAGCTGAATTTCTGCATATTCGTCAGAGGTGGGAAAGCAATTAATAATTACACACAATTAGATGCCTTTCCCACCTCTGTCCACTTTTCCTCTCTGTTTCTCGAGGCTGCTCATTTTCTGCAACTACTTGCAAAAAAAGTAAAGAGAGAGAAAAGAAAAAACTGTAAATTGCTCCTGTCTGTAGCATGGTCTCAGGCAGTCCGGGCTATGTAAAATGCAGATGATTTTGACGAAGTACACAGACTATTGCTTTTGTGCACGTCTCCCACCAACCCCTGCTCCCGGGCCGGTCCCATATCGCTCGAAGCAGCCCAGTTTTTGGCCGAGGTGCAGGCTGGGGCACTGACATACCCCTTAAAAGGGCTCTGCCTTCCTCCTCCTAAAGGATGCGATATCCAGTGGACGGGAAGTGCAGAAAAGGGTTTAGCACCAAATACCATTGCTTTGAAAACACACCTTGAGACGTTAGAGCAAACAGAGCCTGCTCCAGCCTTGCCCTGCGTTTCCCCCCTCGTCACAGGGGGAAAAGCCATTATAAAAAGAGGGAGAATTCCCCTGCAAAACGGAGAATAATAAAACCCTCCCATTAATCTCCCTTTACTGCCGCGGTGACAAGCGCCGGGTCTGAGGCGGGCCGCCGGGGAAGGTCACCTCTGGTGCCTGCCCGCCCTGGGCACGGGGCCGGTGTCCCACTGCGCTGGGACGGGAGCGGGAGCCAGAGCGGAGCTCTGGGCGAGCAGAGAGAGGCACCCTTTCAGGGGGCTTTGCAGTCGTCCTGCCTGGCTCCTAGCTCGCAAAAATCCTCCCGAAACAAGTGCACGCCGGCAGAGACCCAATCCATGAATATGCATGCCTTGAGCATGCCTCCCCATTAAACACCCGTCCTGGAGGGATGGTAATAACTCCCCCACCAGCGTGCAGGGCTGGCCCCTTCCCTGGGGTGGGTGGCAGGGAGTACCCGGCTTGCTCCAAAGCGTGCCGGGGCCTTGGGCTTGGGGTGCTGCGGGAGGGGAGCCGGGGGGGGGGGCCACCTCCGCGCGGGACGGTGACTCTGAGCAGCGGCTATAGGCCAGCTCACACCTTCTCCTTTCTCTTTCAGAGTTCAACCAGACAGTCCAGGGTTGTGGAAATATGACAGACAAAAGCAGTCAGGATCAGCTGCTGTTTCTCTTTCCAGAGTTCAATCAGCAGAACCAGGGGGCTGCCCAGCTCGACGACACCTGCTCTGAAACCCCCAGCAAGAAGATGCGTCGCAATCGGTTCAAGTGGGGGCCGGCCTCCCAGCAAATCTTGTACCAAGCCTACGACCGCCAAAAGAACCCCAGCAAGGAGGAGCGCGAGGCTCTGGTGGAGGAGTGCAACAGGTAAAGCCGGCCCCGCGCCGCCCGCCACCTCCTCGCCTGCCCTGCAGCCTTTCTTCCAAAAACCGCACGCGATGCCGAGCTCCCGGCTCGCAGCCCCGGCCGCTGGCTCATGGCACGGCTTTGCTGAGCTGCCTGGCCTCTTTTTGCCTCGTTTTCCCCATCTGGGTGACATCTGGGGCCGAGCGAGCTCCATGCCGGGGTGGGGATGCCACGGGGATGTTGCAGAGATGCCACGGGGATGCGGCAGGGATGCTGCAGCGTTACAGCAATGTCAGAGGGAGGGGGGATGGCTTTCATGGCACGGATGTAGTTGGAAAGAGCAGGCGGGCTTGTAGGAAGGGCTTAAACGCCCACAATTCGCATGTCCTCCCGAGGCCCCCTGCCTGGCGGTGCTGGCGGAGGCCCCCCCAGCAGCACCCTTGTTCCAACGTGTCCCCTTGCACGCGCAGGGCTGAGTGTCTGCAGCGAGGGGTGTCTCCCTCCAAGGCGCACGGGCTCGGCTCCAACCTGGTGACGGAGGTCCGCGTCTACAACTGGTTCGCCAACCGGCGGAAGGAGGAGGCTTTCCGCCAGAAGCTGGCCATGGACGCCTACAGCTCGGGCCAGCCCCCGCACAGCATGAACCTGCTGCTGTCCCACGGCTCCCCCCACCACAACCAGCCCAGTGCCTCGCCTCCCAGCAAAATGCCAGGTAAGCCCTCGCCGAGGGCGCTCGGGCGATGGCGTTGGAGCAGTTGCAGCGCTGGCTCCCGTTTCTGCTGGGAAAAGGGGCGCTGAGCCCTCGGGGCCGTGCATGGGTGGCCTCGGGGGAGAAGATGGTCACCCTGGTCCCTGCCGCAGCTTTGAGGGGGGGTGGTGGTGCGGAGAGGAGCAAGTGCTGTCGCTGCCGTGTTATGGCCGGGCGAGCCACCTGGCGGGGGCTGGATTTCCGCCCTGCCGAGGAGAAATCGGCATGTGCTTTGTTGGTTTAATTCACCGGAGTCCCCGTGCGGGTTGGGCTGGGCAGGGAAAGGCTGTGCCCGGCAGGGAGGGGAGGCGGGCTGCTCTGCGCCTGACGTGTCAATGCTGGGGCCTTGGGATGCAGCCCACTGGTGAACACTGGTTTTTGGGGT